TCAATCTTGTCTTCTTGGTGATATTAAACAGATACAGCTAAGCCTTAGTTCTCTGTGGGATTCGACTCCGGACTTTTAGACCGGATTATATTTGCAGCGACCTCTTATCCTTTTTAGGACTAGAGTTGGGCGTGATCAATGTCCAACAAAATGAATCTAGACAATTTCAGAAAATATGAATTCAGACACTTTCTTTTGAGATATCATATCTACTTTTTGCTAACAATCCCCCACATATCTCAAAAGGAATAGAAGGATAGAGTATCTAACTTTTGAGATATCATATCTACTATTTTGTCGTTATCGCGGTTTTGCTCTAAAAAGCCATGCGCGCAGATAAGTACTCTAGAAATTTTACCACAAATTTCATAGGAGCAGCCTCACTCCACACTCATATAGGTCCATCCATCAAGTGTATTCTGCAGCACAATACACCACTTATAAAAGGCTATGGATTATTGGATTAAGACTTTAATAACTCAGCCCCACATTCCTTGCGGTCTTGCACTATATACACACATCATAGGAAGAGAAATAACTTAATAATACAAATTTGATCAATTAATGACTTGTTATTACCAATATGAACCTACTCTATAGGATCTCCAATCACATAGGTTGGGTTACCATCATCATTGATATATCTCAAATTGACAAAAGTCTCAACTCCTCGATATTTCACTTATAAGTCAAAGGATCGACCAAATTCTTTTTGACTACACATTATATGTATGAAAAATTCTTATCTCTAAGCAATTTCTTTATCATATTATATTTAAAGAAAATGTGTTTACTCTTCCCATTGAAAGATTTTTTCCTTACAATGGCTATTGTGTCTTGGCAATGACATTTCGTCGACACAAATATTGTCGGTTTAGTTCCTAGTAGAATATTGCGCCTTGGCAATCATAATTTATCGACACAAATATTTTCGGTTTAATTTCTAGTGGAATACGCACCAAGTGGTTTCTTAATCATCCTCATTGCCAGATAATTTCAATACCACACCACTCCACCAAAAGGTGTTCAAATAACCACTAGTGAGTTTTTATTCATCTGGATCAAAGATTCAATATCATCATTGTATCTTTCAAATACAGTGGAAATCTACATACAGAATAGTAACTCATAATACTTCTCAAATAATGTATGAAATTATCTAAAATGAAAAGAAACTTGACTTCCATACAAGTGTCTTTTGAAATATTTAACACATATTAGACTTTATTTTCTTTTGGCATCTTTCATATTTAAATACCAAAGTAAAATTTTCTAACCAAAGAATCAACTTTAACTTTTACAGAAATATCTTAAATAAGAAACGGGTCATAATACAATAATTTCTTCACCTAAATATTTAAGTGACCCAAAGTAAAATACTGTAACCCTCACATTTTTAATAATTTTAAGGTAGGGGATAATATTTTTCATAACTTATAAAAGTGTTACCAAAATAAATAAATCATTCTTCATATTATTCAACTTGGGTGTAGGATACAAAATTAACTTTGTTAGCACAAATATGCTTAGTAGCACAAGAGTTAACACCCAATCTCTTAGATTAGCATAAGATTCGCTTGAGAAATGACCACAACGATTATATCATCCGCTTAGTTAAATTCATTTTTGACTTTGCAGGATTATCATTTCTGTCGAACCCTCTTCTATATTGAAAAATATATAATGGCTTAGTGTGCTCCCACAAAACAATTAATTTACAATAAAGTTTGATCTCAAATAAATAACTCTTAGTTATATGAAGAAAAAATAGTCATTATTCAACATTCACCCAAATGGTCAAGAGATAAGCAAAGATTATTTTTAGAACACAAAGTACTTTCACCAAAATGCAATATATTTTGGTTCTCCAATATATACTATTGCCACAAGAATCACAAATTTCGTAAGGCACGTCTATATTGACATTAAATTATTATTTTCAACGACGTAAGGGCGGACAAAAGCAATTGACAACAATATACATACATGAGTTCTATTAGATATATGTATAATAACCATTTTAATAAAGCTATTTCTAGATAGAGCACTCAATTGGTCATTCATGATCTCTAGAAACATAAGTGAACTATAAAATATTGATGCATTAAAAAAATTAAGTTTTACCACTGGTTAAAACAAATAACATATTGCCTCTTTAAAATGTTAAAAGAGAAAATCTAAAACACTCAAGATAAAGAGAACTACAAAAACATCTCTTATAAGACTTAAAAAAATAACGTGCATTTTTTTTCACAATACAAAATGCACATACATAATAATACGCTACAAATCCACTACAGCAAATAACGCACAACCCGAAACACTAATGAAATTAGAAGGAGATTATATGTATCATCTTAAGGCCAAAGTTATCCGCCAATTATATTCTCACGAGAATAAGCATGAAAGAATAAATGTTGAGGAGGTATTAGTTCAATTATGCATACCTAACACTTAGATATATTGTTACGTAAGAACCTATCTAGCGGAAAATATTACCGTATGACTTTAAAGTTCATCAGAATTCCTTAAGTAATATTCTCCATAAGAACAAAGTAAAATATCCTTAAGATTGTAGTAAATCTTACGGAAAATACTTGATCACAAAACATGTACGGAATTCTTCAAAGCTTGAGGCGTGTCAAAGATAGTGTCCTTAAGGATATTTTACCTGGTTTGATTATATCCCCCAGGATTCAACAACCTCTTCTAGTATAAAACTAGGAGCAGAAACTAACAAAGACTTATTCTTGGTAAAAATCCAGCAGAAGGAAGGAGAGTATTTTCTATATACTTAGTCTCTACCACAAAAGAATGTATATATGTGAAGGAAATCAAGATGTTATAATGGGGGAAAATGGCCAAATATACCCCTCTACTTTCGAATATTGTCTGCATTTAACCTTCGTTATACTATCCAACCGAATTTACCCCTACCGTTATACTATCTATAACCAAATTTACGCCTATCATCAGCAAACATTTAAAAATTACCCTTTGATCTGTTAAGTAATCCAAAATCTCCCAAATTCCTTTTATTTGAGTCACTTGTTGTTCTTCTTGCTCCATTATTTTCTGAAATTACTATTAATGTTAATGCTAAATTTACTAGACTATACAAATTATTCATAATTTTTTTAAATTACCAATGCACCCACTTCTCATTTTGTAATATGAGTTTGGAATTAAAATTTTATTTATTTTTCAATCATACACACACCGTAAAATTCAGTGGGTCTATTTATTGTGTTTTATATGCAACTGATCATCATATATGTACATGTATATTCAAATATATTTTGTCATTGCCTGGTTAGTATAGAGTTCGATCGACTAACTTAAGAGTGCACAATGTGTAGGCATTTAATTAAAGAAAAGTTAAATTCGACAATGTAAAGTCTCCGAGGAACTTCAACTTCAATCACTAATACTTGCAAAGTCTCCATACATTTGTGCAACGAATTCATCAAAATTGTGATGTTGTAAATACTTTTAGAATTTAGAAAAGCTACCTAATTTAGATTTTTCAATTTACTTTACTTTGTTTATTCGGTTGTATTATTTAATATATTTTTTCTCTTATTTTTTTTTCTAATTTAGAAGGTAGGTAAATGCCAATTATTTCGAAAATAGTGGACCAAAAAAATAGAATCAGTAACTTAATTAAAATGATTTGAGAGATTCTGGATCACCTGACAGATTGAGGGGTAATATTTTAAAGTTTGCTGATTGTGGGGATAAATTTGGCCGATAGTATAACGGTAGGGAGAAATTTGGCCCAATAGTATAACATATGTTATAAGCAGACAATATATGAAAGTAGAGGGCTATATTTGACCGTTTCTTTATAACGGGTAACAGTTACAAATATGAAATAGTGACCCATTATTATATTAATAAAAACATAAAATGTACAACAAAATGAATCTAGACAGTTTCAAAAACACTTCTTTTTTGTGATATCGTATCTACTATTTTTCTAACAACTCTAAAGCTAGGTCATTTTGATAACCGCAAGGATACATTTGACTCTAAGAGCCCATTTGGATTAGCTGGTTTGAAGTAGCTGATAAGCATTAGGTGCTGAAACTGATTTAATAAATAAGTAATTATGTGTTTGGATACAAGTGCTGAAATTGATAATAAGCTGCTGCAGTATTTGATAATAAAGTGTTGATAAGTTCTTTTTCTATTAAAATGACTCAAATAACCTTAGAACTGTTTACACCTATAGGGCGTAATTTCTTCAAAATTTTAGATTCCAGATCGATTCAAATACAAAATATTCTATTTGTTATTTTATTTTAAATACAATTGTGCTTAGATAAGATAACTTTTATGATAAATATAATTCATTTTATGATAAGCATATAATCATAAGTTATAATAATTAATAAATTGACAAAAGTTTCTCAATAAAAAATAAACCTAAATAGGACAAAATATTTGAAGACAAACAAACATTGTCTTCATCACCACAACACTTAGAAAGCAATACACCAAAAATTTAATATGTCTTAAATACACAATCACATAGATACAAATATGCAAAGGAATAGAGAATTTGCTTATCTTAAATAGTCAATGAGAATTGCAGACTTGAAGAGGGGGAGGGGGGGGGGGGGCCATTTCACAAGCATA